GCTTTTCTAGTACTGAAAGCCCTTGTGTGCTCTGCTGTCCATTTGTTAAAAGTTCTACTAGTTTGGCCGAGGTATGTTTTAAGCAGCCACATTTAAGTTTTTATACACCTTTGTGTAAGTATAAAGGATAATTTAATAAAAGAACAATATAATTATATCATACAAGTAATCATAATATAAGTATCAAAAACAAACTGGCGTTAGAACATTGAAAATCAATATTAAATTCAATAGAACAGAAATACCTCAATATTATGAACCCAGAACCTCCTGAATTATACTCTTTTATTAATTACACAAACCTTATCACCCACTAATATGGGAGAGAGCAAAATCTGTTCTCCAAAATCTCCACTAAAATAAGCTCTGTTTCCCTGCGATATTCTCTTCCGTATTTACCATCTTTTGATCCGTCGGCATACATTTCTACTCCCAGGTATGTAAACTTTCCAACCGTTTCAATGTCATCTTCATATATGTTTTGTGGGGCTATATTTCTTATCGTCTGTATAATTATTTTTGTTTTTTCTGTAAGTATTAATTTCCCGACCTAGTCCTTTTGTTTGCGTTTTTAACTATGCGTATGTTTCCTGTGCTCCTGTTCATGTTCTACTCATAATTTTAATATCATCGGTATAAGCGGCCAGTTGAACCGTTCGGTTGGTCAGTAGGTTTCCTCGTCCAGTTTGCATTTGCCTAAACTCATACTCCAGTGCCAGGTTAAACAAAGTAGGTACCAGCCCATCTCCCTGCTTTAGTCCCTGCGAAATTTTGAAAAAGTCTGTCCGGTGGTTTTGTATTCGTACACATGCCTGAGTTTCATCCATTGTGGCTTTAATGAATCTAATTAGCTTGTGTGGTATTGCCAATTCAGACAATATATTGTAGTGTTTGTTCCTTTAGACTGAGTCGTATACCTGTTTGAAATCTACAAACACGTTGTGAACATCAATGTCATGTTCCCATGATTTACTCAGAATCTGTTTGTAAATATTTGATCCAGTGTCGATCTTCCCCGTTGGAAGCCCGTCTAATACTTTCCAATAATATTTTCTACTAGTGGTTTGAGCCGCTGGTTTATAAGATACGTTAGGACTTTATATGTTGTACATAGTAGAGCAATTTCCCGGTGGTTTTTGCACTGGAGCTTGTCCCCTTTTTTATGGATAGGGCATACTATACTTTTCTTCCAGTCGTCGGGTATTTTCTCTTCTTGCCATATGTCTTTGATGAGCGCGTGCATGTGACTTGCTAGGTCGTCGTCACCTACCTTATACAATTCTGCCGATATTTCGTCAACCCCCGGGATTTATTGTTTTTTTCTGTGCCTTAATAGCTTAAAGAACTTCCTCTATGGTTGAAGCTTCTTCTCCATCATCTACTTCATTTTCTTCTGCGTAGTTCGTACCTATTTAATCTTCTCTGTCTACTTGTGTACCAAATAAGGTCTGAAAATAATGCTTCCAAGTTTCTGTTGGACTTTCTGTTGGTCACTGATTATTTGCCAGTTTCATCTTTACATATATTTGTTTGAGGTTTATACCCACTTTTTATCTTGTTTAGGTATTCGTAAGCCCCTCTTTTTCGTTGTTTTTAAAATTTTCTTTCATGTTTTCTATTGGTCCATTTTCATAGAATCTTTTTTATTTCTACGTATCTTGTCTGCCTTCAGTCTTGCGACTTCAAATAATATTCGTCTTTCCTGTGTTCTTTCTGTTATATACATTTTGTGTGCTTCATTTCTTTCCTCTATTTCTTGTCTGCACTCGACATCGAACCATGCTCCTCTTCTCGCCTTTTTCTTGTTTCTCAGGGTGGACGCTGCCGCTGTTAGTACTGCTGTTTTGATATTATTCCATTTGCTCTCTATGCAGTGCAGTTCTAGCATCCTTAACTCATTTGCGACTTCTTCTTCAAACTTCTTTTACATTCCTGAATCTTCAGTTTTTCCAGGCCCAGTTTGTTTGTTCTTTGTTGTCTTTCGTTTCTTTCTTTGTTAACTCTGCATCTAAATTTGATTTGAAGTAAAAGATGGTCTAATCCACAGCATCTTCCTCATCGCATTCTCACATCTGAGATATTACTGGCTGTCTTTTTGTCTATCAGTACATGGTTGATTTGATTGGTTGTGATTCCATCTGGTGACATGCATGTCATTTTGTGTATGTCCTGATGCGTATATGATGTGTATATATTTCCGATATGTGGAGCTTATAAATATGTTTTTTACTGGTGGTAAAATTTATCAAAAACTACCCATTCTCGCTTGTTTCATTGTGCAGTAGGAGTTTTCCTGTTGTATCATAGAACTGAGGCCCTTGCCTATTTTAGCATTTATATCACCCATTATAATCTTAATGTCATTTTTGGACGCATTGTCATATACTATCTCCAGCTGTTGGTAGAAGCTTTTCTTTGTATATTGTTCTTGTTCTTCTGTTGGGCAGTGAATGTTTATCATTGTTAGGTTAAAGAAGTGGGTGCAATTTCTTAACTTGCATATCCTTTCACTGACTGCCTGGTAATCTATAATTTTTGACTTAAAATCATTATCCACCACAAAAGCAATTCCACATTCCTTGCTTCCTTTTTCCTACCCACTAAATAGAATTGTGTGCGTTTTAGTGTCCCTGACACCTTTCCTCAGCAATCTTGTCTCACAAAGAGCAGTAATCATGAACTTATATTTTTTTAGCTCTTGCAAAAGTGGGATTGATCTCCTGGTTTATTTAGTGTCCTCACATTCCAGTTTCCAAATATATAGTCCATGTTTCGTAGCTTGAGTCGTTTCCGAAAGTTCCGTCCTGTATTCTGAGGCAAATGTTCAGGTTTCGTAACAGTGTGTTTTTTTCAGGAGTGGGTTGTCTGTCCACTGCCCAACCTTTCTTCTTTACCCAGACCTTATACCGGCAATGGTGACTCCTGAGCTACTAGATTCACCCATTTGTAACCATAGGCGGAGTTGTTAAATTGAATTGTTATATTAGAACAACTTAAATTTAGCTTAAGCTTGGCCTTAAGTAATTTTTATATATAACAAGCGAGTTTTCTACAGCTGACGCCGCTTCTCGTATCCTAATTTCCAGCGTTTTCTGTCGTAGCAATCTTCAGTTGTTAGATCTCTGTTAGATCTCTGGCGATCATTGCATCGTCGACATCGTCTCTCCAGGATCGTCTTGGTCTATCTCGTTTTCTTCTAGATGGCGGAGTTCATTCTTCTATTTTTTTTTTTGGCCATCTATTTTCAGGTTAAGTCTTTTGGCTTCGATTGTGTCTATTATGCCTAGATGGATTTCCATTTCTCTCCGAATATCTTTGTTTCTCACCCTATCAAGTCTAGTGAGCTGGCAACATCGTCTCCAGTAGTTCATTTCCATGGCCCTAATTTTTGATTGGTTTCTTTGGTTTATTTCCCAGAGTTCGGCGCCGTACAGACCAATATTTTCTATTATTGTTTTATAAATTCTTCTTTTATTTTCGTTTGTTATTTTTTTATTCCATAATAGTCTGGTGGCTGATCTTGCTTGGCCAATCCTGGAATGTATTTCTTCGCTACTTCCTGCTTTTGATCTATTTGGACTTCCAAGTATTTAAAATCGTCTGTTGGTTTTATACTTCCCATTTCGATTTGTAGGCTTTCTGGTTTTTCTCCTACAACTAATTACTCAGTTTTGTGTATATTAATTGTGAGGCCCCATTTGGTGTACTCATCTTCCAGTTTTTTAAGCATGTAGCCTACATCACCCTCGTCTTCAGTTACAATGGCTTGGTCGTCAGCGAAGTGTACCGTGTACAATCTATCATCTCCGATTGGGATGCCCATATTTTAGCACTTTTTTCTCCACTGTGAGAGTGCCTTATTTAGATATGTTTTGAAGAGTGTAGGTGCTCTGCAGCAGCTTTGCTTTACGCCCTTACTAATAGGAATTTCTCTAGTTAATCTATCTCCAGTTTTAATGTTTGCCGTCATATTTTTGTAGAGCTGTTGTACTGCTTGTATATTTTTTTGCTTATTCCTTATTTAAGACTATATGAGTTGAAAGGTTGTGGGCTAATCTTTTCTCGATAACTTGCTTTAGAGAGAATATACTGTCCATACAGGATCTGCCTGCACGAAAGCCATTCTGTTCTTCTACATCTGTCATCTCTTTTTCAATTTTATTTTTTATTATTTTTCCATACAGTCTTGAGAGTGAATTTATGACACTTAGCCCCCGGTAGTTTGAAAAATTCTTTCTATCTTCTTTTTTGTAGATGTTGTTATGTGCTTTTGTCTACTCCGGTGGTAAGTCGTGTCCATTATAGAATAAGGTGAAGACATACTCCAGTAATTCTCGTAATACTTGTGGGCTATGTTTTACTAATTCATTTGGTATGCCTTGTGGTCCGCATGACTTCCGATTTTTTAGAGTTCGTATTGCATTCTCGACTTCCTGTACTGTTATTTCATCGTCTTCACTGAATTCCAGTTCATATGTTGTTGTACTGTAATTCGTGAATCGAGGTCTTGTTTCAGTCAAAAGTTGTGAGTAGTGTTCGATCCAAGTAGCTTTTTGACGGGTCAATAAAATAGATAAATTATAGTAACAGCAGATCAAGTGTTTGCTAATAAAAAAACTTAAGTACTAAATGTGCTCTGATTTACTTGCTTGATGCATATAATGTATATAGAATTATTGTGAATTCGTTAATTCCTAACTTTAATTCGTCATTTATTGTTCCTATTTAGATTTTTTACTATTTGTACACATTTGTTCTTAAGTCATGATTATTTAAGACGTTTTCAAAGCTTTGTTAAATCACGAATTTATTTAATAACTTCCACGCACATATTTTTTTTAATTAAATTATCCCAATGTTAAGATTGTATTTATGGTTATGGTTAATTGATTTTGGACAAAAATACAATAATATAACTTATGAAAATCAGTTATTAAGAGAATTGTAAAATATTGTCGATTTAATTGGTTTAAAATATTGTTCTAAAAACTCATGTATAGACTGATACGCAGGCCAGTCTCAGCTTACCTGGATCGCCTTTCAATCCTCGTCGAGGCTCCAGAGGAAGCCACCAATTCACTATGCGTAGTAACCGTCGTATGATACCTCCTCCAGGTGATCGCAAACCTCTGGTTTTGTCCACTTATTTAGATGCTCAAGAACATTTACCTTACGCCGATGATTCCAATGCAGTAACACCAATGAGCGAAGAAAACGGAGCCATGGTTGTTCCTATTTATTATGCCAATCTGGGTAAGTGCCATGCTTTCTGAAAAACTGCACTCATTTTCCGATTTTAAATCTTTAGATCATGTCCAAGAAATTTCTGGACTGAATCATTTTACGAAATAACCTGCTGTTTGTTACAAGACGCTCGCCTAGGATCTAGGTGGCAGCTTTCATTTTTTCATCCTAAAATTAAGCTATTATAGTCCTACGTTCTATTTTATTTATGTGATTTTTTGAACTGCCAACTCTATTGTCCAAATACTCTCTGTTTCAATCTCTATTTCAATTTCTCCCTAGTATATTTCTAGCATTTCTAATCATAAATTATGAAGGATTTCACAAAGACAAGACAAAAATTTCACATTAAATTTTGTTTTGTATGACGGCTGACTTAAATTCTTAAATATAAGAACACCGGAGTAAAATTCATGTCTTTAAAAGGAAAATACGGGGGTACTGTATAATTTTGACAAACTGCACCGGTTTGAACAAAAATTTCGATTTGGATTCTACTTACTATTCGAAAATAATTTTGAAATTGTTGATTCTATAGCATGTAATCATTTGGAATCATCTTTTAATAAGTTGAATGAACGTCAAATTACATTATGGAATATAATTTATGATTTACTAAAGTTTCACCCCTAAAAGCGACCCTCTAGAATATCAACAATTAGGTTGTTCTTACTCTTCACTTTAAATATAAATCTGTACGGGGTTGTTTACTGTTTCTCATGGGAGAAAACTATTCCTATATACTATCCTCCTCCTATTCACCACTAATAAGTAAAGTTTCTACAGTTTGGTTAAATGCTTTTCTAGTACTGATATTTAAAAAGGAAAATAAATATAAATTAGAAATCTATAGACCCACTAGCCTTTTATCCGTTTGTGAAGATAATTACATTGCGACTAACAAACAACCTGGTAGAAGTAAGAAGAAGAACACTAATTGAAAAATCAAACGAATATAATATGACACTCTTGATGGCTATGGTAGATTACGATAAGGCATTTGATTCCATATAAATGTGGGCCATCCTTAACGCCTTAAGCAACAATAGAATTAATGACCGATATACAGAAATCATTAGGTATGGATATGAAAATGTGAAAATGCAACATTGCCAATAAAAACTGATGAAAAAAAAAACAGAAAAAAATAAAAGAGAGGAGTTAGACAAGGAGATTCTATCCCTTCTTTTTCTTTGAGTACCGTGCCCAAGGTTTAGGTTCCATGACAATTTGCCGATATCATTCTCGATCTTGCGCGGCATGTAATAATTCATCTGCTGATAAGCCAGTCCATTAACGAAGGTTTCGGAGCCATAAGTGTTTCTTCAGGATAATGCAGTTGAGTATCAATTGCATTACCCTGTATCTGCTTCCGCTCATTATATGCCCCAGATATTCGAGATTTCTCTTTTTTATCATCTTTACCTTGTCTACTTTGCCTTCTTCACCTTGAACTACTTTGTTTAAGACTTCTCTGTTTGAAATGTGTTGAACCCATGATATTCTGAGCATTCTACGATATAACCACATCTCGAAGGCTTCTAATTTGTTCACAGGATACACATAACATTTTAGGAACTTAATTCTTAGCTGTAAGTTCAGCTGAGAACTACTCAGAATAGATCCAAGTTTTATAAATGTTGCTCTAGCAATTTCTACACGAGTTTTAATTTCTTCATCCGGATTTAGTGTCTCGTTTATCCAACATCCTAGGTATTTAAAATAGTTAACTTTTATTATCGGTTTATTATTGACAATTAGTTGTAAAGCGCCGAGGTCTTGTTTACTAACCACAAGTAACTTTGTCTTTATTGTACTTATGCTTAGTCTGGTATTAGAGCATTCTTTAGTGACTCAATCTACAAGGAATTGAAGATCTTCGAATTCGAACTCCACATTGCCCTTCCAAGGCTCGGTTAAAAATTATTTCTGAGTAAACGTTAAACAAAGTTGGGGACAACACACAACCCTGTCTAACACCTCTTTGAATGCAAATTTTGTCTGTTTCTTTGCCATCTACCAGAATAGAAGCTTGTTGATTCCAATATAGATGTTGTAAAAGTCTCAAATCTTTATCATCTATTCCAATCATTTCTAGATATTCAAACAGCCTACCATGTTGAACCCTACCAAACGCCTTTTTAAAATCTATAAAACAGACGTAAATTGGTTTCTGTACTTTCCATGATCGTTGAAGTAGTGTTAGCATTGAGAACAAACCTTCCCTTGTTCCCAATTCTTCTCTAAAACCGAATTGTTTATTTCCCATTGTGTCTACTATCTAACATTTCTGCTTAATTCTATTAAGAATTATCCTAAGAAGTAGCTTGAGAGAGTGACTTATAAGACTAACTAGTCTAAAGTCTTTAAAGTTATAAATGTTTGTTAGTTCTGAGACATTGTCGTCGTCTAGAAATTTGAGCCAGTATGATGGTATTTGGTCAGGGCCTGGAGATTTCCCATTTTTGCTTTGTTTGATGGCTTTTTCTACTTCTGCTTATAAAATACTAGGACCAGTATGCGTATACTTTGTGGTATAAGTGGTGGCCTCATATCCAGGAAGAGCTTTTTTATGTAGTTGGTCCATTGTTCTTTGTTTTTTTTCGTTTAAGTCGAGAATAATTTTACCTTTGGAGTTTCTCATAAAGTGAGCAGTTCTTTTTCTCTGATGTTTCTTGTTCAAATGTTTCTAGCTGTTTTTTAATTTCATGATTTATCTTCTTTACGAACTCATCTGCTATTACGGCATTTCTTAGTAGTCGATTATTATGTTTTTTCTGAGCTGTCGGGATTTTTATTATTTTTAATTTTAGTTTGAATCCAGCACAGAGCAGATTATGATTAGTTGCTGCGTCTGCACTTGGGAATTTTTTTGCAGATGTAATACTGTTTCTAAACCTTTTGTTAATGATAATGTAGTCGATTTGATTTCTTACTACCTTTCCTTCTTGATCAGCTGGAGGTTTCCAGGTATATAGTCGTCTTTTCGGTTGTTGTAACAAAGTATTTGTTATAATGCAATTCTCTTCTTGGCAGAACTGTATTAGTCTCTGACCTCTTTTGTTCCTTTCTTCAAGTCAATACTTTCCGGTCACAAGTCAATAACACAATACCTTTGTTTTGACAATCCTAGCTTCCTTAATTAGAAATTTGAGCAGCTCCAGGTAATATTAGAAGGCAAAATCGAGGGTAAAAGGGGTATAGGAGGAAAGAAGAAATCCTGGCTCCGAAACATCAGAGATTATACTCACACAACAGGAAATGACTTAATCCATCAAGCCCAGAACAGAGAGAAATTTGCCATATTGATTGCCAACCTCAATATAGAAGGCACTTAGGAGGAGGAGGAATTTATTTTTTAGTTGTATCATCATGATGCGATCATTGAAATGAACGAAATTTCTAATGCTGTTACAAATTTCTTCTTTGATAATAATTGGGACTCCGTTACATTTGGGTCTTTCTGCCTTTCCCGAGTGGTAGATAATGTATCCATTGCTCTCTCGAATATGTTTGACCCTAGCCATTATATCTTGCAGATACCTAGGATAGGAATGTCTAGTCTGGCCATTTCCAGCTGAATATTGTGTAACTTCGCGCCTTCAAACATAGTTGTGACGTTCCACATATCTATCTTGTGGACTTCCAGTACATGGGGTTTTCGTGGGTTTACGACCTGAGAGGCCCCGTGGTCTGGTTGTGATCTTCCTCCCCTGCTGGATCTTGGATTAAGAAGTCCATGATCAATAAAAGTATGCATACTTTATTCCTTTGTCCTTTTGATTCATTCGCCTTCGGGATCGATTTCTCAACCCCAGGACATAAAGGTGCCTTACCACTTGCCAACTCCTACTCCCGAAGCCGTTGGTCAGTAAGTGAGGGACTGCTTATACCGACAATCACTCAGTGAAACTTTCGCCATATCTAGCTACCCTCACTTAGTTTAGCCTACAGACCAATGCAGTTGCCCGGGGTGTGGCATGTGGAGCCATAAGTGAGAGTTAGGTGTCTTATAAGGACCAGTTATCAAGAACCATCTCCCGTCTATGACGCTTGATGTGGTCGTTCCAATTAAAGGTACTACCTCTATAACACAACCCTACACCCCAATTCTATCGATTCTATCTCACCTAAGGTATTTACTTTAACTCTAGAAGATCCGTTCCGAACTTTAGAAGTGGAAAATAAAGGAGTGACAATAGATGGCGAAAACCTAAATCACCTAAGATTTGCTGATGATATTACAAAATGGCAAAAGGCAGAGAAGAATTGCAGGAAATGCTATTAGACCTAAGTATACAATTAAAAGAAATAGGAATAAAAATAAATCTAGCAAAAACTAAATACCTAAGAAACGAACCTATAGATATAATTGTGGGTATAACTCTGGACAATAATAATACAAAAATGTTGAGTTATATATATATACTTAGGACAAAAAATCGAATTAACAAGGATTCACTTAAATGCTGACTTAAATAGAAGATGTTTCTTAGCATGAGCAGCATTCGGAATATAACAAACAGTATTTAAATCAAACTTACCAAAGGCAAAAATTTTTTATCAGTACGTGCTACCGGTAATGACAGATAGAACTGAAACATGGGCTTTTAATAGAAATATAGTCCACAAACTCTAAGTGACTCAGAAAACTATGGAACGGAGAATTCTTAACATTAAGCTCCGTGATCGCAAGTCTAATATTTAATAAGAAGACGAACAAAAGTTACCGATGTATTTCGAAAGTTGTGAAAATGGAACTGGGCAGGACACATAGGAAGAATGGAAGACAACCCTAGCAAGCAAGAGAAGTAGAGGCAGGCTTAAACCAGATTGACTGATGATATTAAGCGAATGTCTGGTCGCGAGTGGATGCAAAAAACAACAAACAGAAATGAATACACACACCTAAGTCTTATATAAATTAAATATAAACATCAATCGACATTCTGAGGAATAAATTATGATAAATTAAAAATTTGTAACTCCTAAAAACCAGCACTTTACTT